ATCCCCATCGCTCTGATCATTACTCAGGTGGTTCCAGCCCTGCCCAGAGATGAGTTTAATTCAGGCCATTCCAGTCTGCTCTGGGAATGGAACTCTGCCTTTCTGCATGCTCCCTGCACTGAGGAATGTTCCTGGGGTGCATCGCTCTGTGGCAGCGGAAGCTCCCAGGGCATAATGTCTCCTGTGTAGTAGTTGCGGTGCTTTTGTGTAACGCAGGCCCTCCTGGAAACGGGGCCTTTCTTTGAACACTGGGCCCTGTGACCGGGTCCTCTCTTTTTTGGGGGGGCTTCTTTTCTCTGTTTTTAAAATTCATACTTTTGACCCCAAACCTCACTGTTTAGCAGTGTCTCATTTTCAGTCATTCTTAGCCGTTCAGTGACCCATGAGGCTGAACTCAGGTGACAGCAAGTCCCAGAAAGGGTCTCTGACACGCACGCGAGTGAGCACACACTTTTAATCTAGAGACTTCTGTGCAGTTTCTAAGTCTTCCGTACGACTCAGTTCCTTGGTATTTTGGGAAAATGATAGTCTGGTCTAGACTCTCTTAATAGCCCTGAACAAACGTGTGCCCGGCTGTCATTGTGAAGCCCTCACATCCAGTTTATCTGCACATTCCACTAATTTTAGCTCGTGGCTGGGTCCCCAGCATCACAGAAATAGACACACTGAAGTGATCTCAAAGGAATGAGAGCACTCCTGCTATGAAAACTTAGACCGTCTTCTATTTTTATAACAAAAGCTGTAATTACAGTCTGGCAGGAAGAAACTCACAAGAAGGATATAAAAATAGTGTAAAATGAGCATCATACAGGAATTAATATCTCTCTCTTTTTATAAATGCAAAGCAGTGTATAGAGGCTTTAAAACTTAAAGGCTTTGCGGAGGTTGTTAGTTTTAGGTTCAATGGATACTTTAATGTCCATGTTCTCAAATGGCCTGTGGCTATTTCAGTCCTTTGTAAAAAGGTTTTCCGCCAGAATGGTGCCATTGTGTCAATTAGACTTGGAAACATCCTATTTTCTGTGATGATTGGATTCCTTTTCACAGACGTGTTTTGGTTACGGCTCTTTAATCAGCCATAACAGAGTGTGGGGCCCGTACAAGCTGACAGTTCCCGTAAACCTGCTACTGATGCACCAGGCTCGGGGGTCTGAAGTTGAGCCCTTCAGTTTACCCTGGGGGGGGACGGGGGGTGCAGCTGAGGTGTTGAGGCAGCGTCCTATGTGTTAGAAGCTCTGCTTCTCACCACCTGTGAGCTCTGCTTCCATTTCCTGCTGCTCCCTAAGATCCCCACGAGAGTTAGAGTCAGTATTTGTAAAGCTCTCAAAACAATGTCTAGACCACAACAATTACCGCAAAATAAAATACGGTGCCTCACTGGGGTCTCCACACGTTTGCTCGGCAGAGCCCAAGCCCCGTCCCTGTGTCCTGTCTGGTATCCTTCCCGTCAGCACATTGCTCTGCCTCTAGAGGAGGGGGACTCCCAAAACCTGGTTCTTTAAAGAAAGAAATGTCTTTTTTTTCTGCTTTACCAAACAATGAAAACTTTATAAGCCTGTGACTCTTGAAGTGATTTAAGGAAAGAAAAAACTGACCTTAAGTCCCTGGAAGGAGAAAAGATCTCTCGAATCCGCTCACCTACAGAACGTGTATTTCATGGATAACAGCTGGGCATGTGTGGGTGTGTGGGTGTGAGGGTGTGTGGGGTGCTAACGACGTCTCTCTGTGCTAACGACCTGTCCATGTGCTAACCTCTGCTCTGCTTCTGTGGCCGAGGCACTGACCGCCAGCTGTGTGTGTTGCAGTGGGACCCCGACGGCGGCGAAGAGGCACTTTCCAGTTCCGCCGTCCTGTACGATAACTTGCCGTCTCCGAAAATCTTTGCGCGCTACCCGCCTGCTGACAGGAAGGCTCCTAGGCCACCTACTGACAAACTGTCCTGTAACCATTACAAACACCCCACGTCCTGTGGGCTGTCTTCCACCCAATCTGTCACTAACACCTCTTCTGTGGGGAGGGCATCTCTCGGGCTCAGCTCCCAGGTACAGCATCGCCTTCTCTACTATTCTAGAATCTTCTTTGAGTCGCAGTCCCCCTGCAGAGTTTTGCAGTGATAACCACCTGGAGTAAGTGAGACTCACCCAGGGGAAAGCATAGAATAATTTGCAAATGCAGCCAATGCTTGGCCCCCAGGAACTGATTCAGTGTCCCTCACTGGTCTATGGTGTGCGTGTTGTATTTCTCTGCGTACATCTGTCTCTCCAGTCTTGGGACATGCCCCAGTGAATTTTGTGAATTATGACAACTAAAGGCAATGTCTTGAAAAAGGACAGATAATAAAACCTTGCAGGAGGGTCTTGAGCTGCAAGTTTCTTTTTAATGTGTTTCCATTAAACATATTAAACCCCATGGAGTAACTGCTTTTTTCTTTTTAAAGATTTGTTTATTGATTTTAGAGAGAGAGGGGAAGGGCGAGGGAGAGAGAAAGAGAAACATTGATGTGAGAGGGAAACATCCATTGCCTGCCTCCTGCATGCCCCTCACCCCAGAACCGAGCTCTTAACCCGGACATGTGCCCTGACCGGGAATGGAACCAGCAGCCTTTCAGTGCATAGGGCGATGCTCGACACACCAGCCACACTGACCGGGCCTGGAGTGACTGCTTTTTGATCTTTAAACGTGAAATAGGATTATTCAGAGCACTGTGGTGGTTTTCCCTAAAACCAAGTAGATAATAAGGATTTTGGATTATCATTTATTGGGTAATAAATAACCTTGATATCGAACTGTTGTTCATCCCACACCTTATATTTGTAGCAAATGGTAACATTTCAGTATAAATACAACTTCTGTGTTTTCATGTTTTTTTAATCGAAGACCTTTATACTTTGCATAGAGAACCCCCCCCCCTTCCGTGAGAGCACTCTGCAGAGCAGGTGGGCACGTTCCAGGGGGGTTTCATGCCTTTTCAACCTAAGACTTTATACTTTGCACAGAGACCTCTTCCCTTCTGTGAGAGCGCTCTGTAGGGCAGGTGGGCACGTCCCAGGGGGTTTTCTTTTCCCTCTGTTTTGGGTAAAAGTGACACATGCCAGGGAAGACCCTAGCATTTCATATCGCTGTGGTGCACAGGAGCTCTTCCCAACTGATGGCTTCATCAGAATCACAGGGAAGTTTTTATCTGGCTTTGATTTTTAACGACAGTTGCTCAGAGTCTGTCCAGTGAGTCTGAGGGTCTCGTGTGAGCCACTGGCTCTAGCTTCTTTGAGTACTGTTGTCAGAAGTCCAGTGGTTACCAAGCGGAGCTCAGAGATGCCGTGGCTCTCTCAGCAGCTGAGTGACAGAGTGGAATTTAATGTGGGTCCATCCGCCTCCCCAGCCCAGCCCACAGTTCAGGAGGTGGGTGTGACGGCAAGGGTAGGCCTGGACACCCACAATTCACCGCTCCCGCCAGCTGCATTCAGCCACACGACAGTGCCTGTCTGTCACTTTAGCAAAATACGACATTTGCTGGCCCGCGGCCATCCTGGAAGTAGGGATGCCATTGAATTTTTTAAAAACCAGTAGTTGGTCAAAATTTAGTTCTACTGTTTCTTTATCTTTTGTCTCTTGCTTCCTTCCCAAGACCTTGCCAGTGAATCAAAGCATAGTTATTTAGCCCAGTAGGACGTAGTCAGCATAGAGCATGGTGAGCAGAAATCAGCTGCAAGTCACGCTGCTCCCTAAAGAGCTTCCCGCTGGTGGAACGCGGTTCCTCTTCAGAAACACTCCCCCAGCGCCTCAGCCCAGCGCTTGATGCTCCACCTGCATCTCCATCGGCACGTGCGGTCTCCCTCTGGACATATGTAGCTCTACCCCTTTCCCACTGGGGACATCCCAAGTCCCTCAGGCCGGAACCTCTCAGCCAGTCCTGGGAAACCCAAGCCTTCCCGTGTTTGGAAGCCAGATTAGTTCCCTACCACCCTTGTGTTTTTCTGCCTATGTCAGATACCACTTAGAGTTAGAGATGGAAACTGTACTGCATAACAAAAAAACCAAGTGTTTTGGATCATTTGTTTACTTCTAACTTTCTTCTATGTTTATTTCGACAGCTGAAGGGTAAGAAGCCCCCACTAGCCTCCAATGGAGTTACTGGCAAAGGCAAGACTCTGAGCAGTCAGCCAAAGAAGGCTGAGCCGGCCGCCGGCGTGAAGCGGACGCCTTCCAGTGAGTGCACCCTCATTTGTCCATCGGGTTGTGGGTGCCCAGCAAAGTGGGGTGAGTGTTGTGAGACCCGTGGGAGAGCTGGAGTAGCTACATCGTCGTCATCGGCTGCATGGGAGGGGGCGCCGGCCTCTGACCCAGCTCGTGACTGCATGTACCCAGGAAAGGTAGATCCGGCTGGCCACCTGGCTCTAGGGCTGCTTAAGCTCTAGGGCTTGTTTCTGTGATGAAACAATCCCAGTACTCATGGGCCTCACAGCATTGGAGAAATACAGGGGCCTGTAAAGAGTCCAACTCAACGAAATACAGCCCTCGTTGTCCATGCAGGTCTTATCCATTTCTCCTGCCTGGCTCTCAGCCACCTGTCAGGGTGGGTGCTGTCGCCTGCTCCAGGGTCACACTTGGGAATGGTCTCTGAGTGACCCCGGGGCCTCCCCGGGGCTCACGGCCGGCAAATAATGGAACCACAGCGAGCCCCAGGTTTCAGGTACACAGCTGGCAGGGCCACCGCACAGAGAGGAACGAGACTCAGGCAGGACACAGCTCCTGTCTCCGGGTGACACTCACCATGCGTTTTTCCTTCCTCGGCCCTGGTGACTCAGGGTACCTCGGCACTCACAACCAAGCGCTGTGCTTGTTGCCGGGCCACGGAGATAAGACAGGGTAGCTGTTGCCAAGGTGCTTGAGCCTGATGGAGCCACAGAGCAGATATGCAGGTGGCCTGGCTGCTGCACAGGCCCTCAAAGCCCCAGAGCTTCCAGGGGTCTAGCTGTCAGGGTGGGTTTCTGGGAGGGAGGTGAGAGCTAGACTGGAGATGAGTAATATGATTACTTAGGAGGTCGTGTCTGTGGTTTGTGACTGGCTCATAGAGCTGGAAAACCAGTCTGCCTGTGAACAAAGACCTCCGGCTCCAGCTAGTGCCCCTGCTCTTGCTGCGGGCCCTGTAAGTGAATTTCAGTCACGGTGCACAGGGTGTGTGGTGGGTACACATGCACCAGCCTCAGAGCTGCTCCTGCCCCAGGACACTGGTGATCTTCATGGGAGCAGGAGTCATCCTCACACACGCAGGTGGGTCAGGAGCAGCTGGGCCCAAGCCTCCTCCTCATAGTTTGTTGACTGTGCTGACCTTTGACTTCTCTGGCATACCTCATTTCCCTAATGCAGTCGATGTGTTTATAGTCACTTAAAATGCTGGTATTGTCCCTGTGGGGAAGGCATGGTGGTGGGGGTAACGCGCTTGTTGTGCGAGACCCAGTTCCGTGAAATTCGCTCTCAGTAATGGCTGATTTAATTTCTTAGGTGATTCATTCCTTTATTCTATGAGATCTTCTGGAGGGAATTTTTTTTTCACTGTAGTGACATCTAACAGTAACAAGTGAGAAAACTATTGTTATCAAAGACCCTCATAATTAGAGGGAAGGAGCCATGGGGTCAGGACACAAATGCAGTGTTAGCTAGTAGGCGTCTGTGTTTTTGCTGAATTCAGCCGTTCACATTATAGACTGATGGGTTTACTGCCTGGGGACCGAAGATGGGGAAATGTCTTAGTTTAGAAATAAGTGGCTGGAGTGTAGACTCTGCTCTGTCTGCCGAGTACATCCTGACCCTGAGGTTGCGACAGCAGTGCTTCCTTGTCAGCCTGTTGGTCTGGTCACGTGCTGCGACCACTTCAGTGTTACCTGTGTGCGTTGTTGAGTGGGGAGTGGTGACTTGGTGCCCCCCACATGGGTGAGGTATTCCACTGCTGGCACCATGGCTTGCAGCACAGAACTGGTGAGCTCGGCATTTAGGGAAGATGCCGGCAACGGCTCACCCCTGCCCCCAAGTGGACAGGGCTTTGCGGACTATTGTCACTGACAGTGACTAGAGCTGCCGGGGAATGTCCACCTTGTCCCAGATGTCATGTGGTTTTGTGAGATGGGTTTTAGGTACAAATATCAAATTTTTTAAAACCCCACAAGGTTGGCCTCATTGCATCTGCTTCATAGTGGGGAAGCTGAGGCACAGGGAGAGGAGTTCATGGCTCCTTCTCAGGTCCACCACCTTTATTATGACTGTTACTCTGCTCTCTGCCTCTCTGCCGAAGCCCTCGTAGTCTAGTGAGGGAGCCGGACATGCAAATAAACAGCTGGGTGTCTATGGGATGTGCAGATAGAGGCTGTGTGAAGTCTGCAGTCCTCTGAGCTGGAATCAGGTCTCAGTGGTTAAATGTTGGAAGCAATTGGGGGACAGTGGAAGCTTTGCAAACAGTGGCCCTGGGTCAGTCTTGTTGGCTGCTCCATCTCTTCCTATCTCCAGTGTGTTTTTCCAAAGAGACCTTCAAAACTACTATTATCAAAGGCCTTGGCTGCTCCATCTCTTCCTATCTCCAGTGTGTTTTTCCAAAGAGACCTTCAAAACTACTATTATCAAAGGCCAGCGTAATTAGGGGGAAGGAGCCACAGGGTCAGGACATGGATGCACTGTTAGCTAGTGGGTGATGCTGGCCCGACCCTGCGTTTCCCCGGACTGGTCTCCTCTCCACTTGTTTATTTGATGAATGTTTAGGTCATGCTCACTCTGTGTTTGTTCTGAGCACTTTATAAACATTAACTGAACCCTCATCCCGGCCCTACGAGTTCTTCCCATTTCACAGATGAGGACACTGAGGCAGAGAGATTAAGCACCTTGCTCGAGGTCATGCAGCTCCAGACCCCACCTTGTGTTACCTCTTCATTTTTTAATTGTGTTTCATTCACCAGCCGATGTTATCATGTGTTCAGTCTGTGCTGAGTGTGTCTCACTGCAGAGGACACAGCTGCCATCGGGTCAGCAAAGTGGCAGACAGTGGGGCCCCAGGGTCAGCTGTGATGGCTTAGGGAAGTAGTTTGAAAATCACAGAACTACCCACAGTCAGAGATTGTGTGTGAAGTTCATGGCCTCCTCTCTTCAGATGTGGAGTGTTCACTGTTGACCAAAGTTGCAGGCCTGGAAAGGCAGAGAATTAAAGCAATTTCTTAATTTTCTGTTTTTACTTTTAAAATTTGTTTCAAAGAATATTGGATTATTTGAACTAGCTCAAACAGGTCCCCTTATTTATCTTGTTGAATTGCAAATAGCTAGCCTTGGGTTTACTTTACCAAGTGAGCTGATTGAGCCAGCTTTGTGAACCCCCTCGTTTCTGCTTGGCTAACCCTGATTTCCCATTGCTGCTTGTGTTTCGAAGATGCTGACCAGTACAAATATGGCAAGAACCGGGTTGAGGCAGATGCCAAGCGGCTGCAGACCAAGGAAGAGGAGCTACTGAGGCGGAAGGAAGCGCTGCGGACCAGGCTGGCCCAGCTCCGGAAAGAAAGGAGGGACCTGCGAGCCGCCATTGACGTGAATGCTGGTAGGAGAGGCACTCCGTCTGTGAGAATCTAGGTCCTCTGTCTACTGCAGGGCCTCACTCACCAGGCACGCAGCTTAGTAAGACTCCGGCATCCCTGCCTTGCACTGCTTCTCAGAGTCTGGAAGCATTGCTGGTTAGCCCAGGGCAGGTACCAAGGTGAGGGAGTCCTGAGACAGGCAGGAGGGGTCAGGTGCCAGGAGCTGTCCAGCCTCTGGTGCTGATGGCAGGGATTGACTGGATCCTACCCTAGAGCCTGAGGGCTCTGGTGTCTGTGCTGTGAGTCGATGGGGCAGTTGGGTTCCTCAGCAGGGGGACAGTCCATGGGGACAGGTAACATTCAAAAACCAGGTGAGAGGTTTCTGTCTGGGTACAAGCTGCCCTCCACTCCCTGAGAGGGGACAGCTGAAAGCAAGACAGCATGAGTTCTTGGAAGGGATTGGGGAAGAGCCCAAGTGAGTGGAACAACCCCGAGAGAGAAGCTGAGCATAAAGACAGTCCTGTGGAGCCGAGTTGGGATGGGCTGTGTCTGGACCAGGGTGGCTTGTTGTTGCTGGCAGGAGCTGGGCATGGGGTCCTGGTTCTGGGACAGAACTGCTAGGAAGCACGCTGCAGCTCCAGACTGGTCTTACCCCGGCCAGCACTGACTCCAGGCTTCGATGTGGCCGGCCCAGGACAGGGGGGGCTGAGGCCAGTGCGGAGAGCCAGGGAGGCCCAGGGGAGACGCCTGTCTCCAGGTAGCAGCACAGTGCAGGGGGAGTTGGTGCATGCACACATGGAGCTTGAGCCTCTCCCGACTTTGTGCCTCCATGACTTGTAGGAAAGGATGTGCTTGTGCAGTTTAAAGAGTGGGAGGCAGGTATCGGCTGAGCAGGTCCGAGATAGCTCATAGAGGAGGTGGGATGGGCACCTAGCGTAAGGCCACCTGGGCGGAGTCAAATGCTAGGTCAGAGGACTGGATGGGAGCAGATGGTGAAGATGCAGAAGGATTAGACCCGTGTTTGGCCTCAAAAAAAGAGTCCCACATGCTGCACACAACCCATGAAATGTGCGCTAGACTAGGGCCATGGGCACAGATCGCTTAGCTTCTTGGAATCGGTTCTCTTAGCTGTCCTGTGGGTACGGTACCTGCCTTCCTGTGTCACTTCACACATTTCACATAATATGAAACGTGTGCCCAGGAGACACATGTGCCGTGCTCCATGGAGGAGCAAGCGTTTGACTGTGGGGGCGAGTAAGATGGCTGAGGAGTAAGTGGCAGAAGAATTAGAAAAACAGTCAGACTTTTTGGTTCAGTGAAGCCGTGCAGTTTAGGTTCCACATTTCCGATGAGGGTATTAGGCCCACTTGTGAAACTCAGGGTCTCCTGCTCCTGCTCCCTGTTCTTCCAGCTGCAGCAAAGGCAGGTGTGAGGGGTGGACTCTGTTCCTCTAAGAAACGGCAGAGTGTGCCTTTCACAGAAGGGACTCAGGTATGGAAGCTCAGGCCGAGTCTCACAGAGCCCCCGGTGTGCGCTGAGTGTCTGCTGTGTTGCTGCAGTGGAGCCACAGGGTTTCTCTGGCTTCCAGGCAGGAAGAGCCAGCTGATCCTGGAGGAGAAGCTGAAGGCGCTGGAGGAGGAGTGCAGGCAGAAGGAGTCGGAGCGGGTCAACCTGGAGCTGGAGCTGACGGAGGTCAAGGAGAGCCTCAGGAAAGCCCTGGCCGGTGGGATCACTCTGGGGCTGGCCATTGAGCCCCGGTCGGGGACCTCTAGTCCACAGGTAACGTCCTCCCGCGCCCCTACACAGCAGCACGGTTACAGCGTCCAGAGAAAATGCCCAGTTCCCCTCTAAGGTGGCTGCTCCATTCCCAGCCTCACTCAGCACAGTAGATACACATACCAGCTTCAGGCAGTAAATGTTCCTGTCACTTTCTCCAAACTTACAAGGTGGCAGAAACATAGTCTGTCTCTTCCCCTTCGCAGAATCGGCTCATAATAGGTACAATTTTTTTTTTTTAAATATATGTTTTTATTGATTTCAGAGAGAGGAAGGGAGAGGGAGAGAGAGATAGAAACATTGATGAGAGAGAGTCATTGATCGACTGCCTCCTGCACACCCCCTACGGGGGATCGAGCCTGCCACCCGGGCCTGTGCCCTGACCAGGAGTTGAATCACAATCTCCTGGTTCATAGGTCGATGCTCAACCGCTGAGCCTCACTGGCCAGAAATAGGTGCAGTTTTTATGTCTCCTTTGAATTTGATGCCAGTTCACGAGACAGAAACTTTAATTCAATGGAGTAGATGTTTATAAAATGTCCAGCATGTGCTGTGAATCATGCTCGGCGCTAGGGAACAAATGAAACATTGTCTGTATCCTCTGCAAACTGGACAGACACACGGACATCAGTTTTGCTTGAATTTCCACCTTAGTAACAATGACTTACTGTAACCCATTGTTCTTTCCACGTGTCTGTCCCACCGAATCCTTACCACCCGTTTCAGGCATCACTGCTTCCATCTTACAAACGCAGTACTCAGGCCCAGGGAAGCAGCTCTGGGTCACCCAGGCCAGCGCCTGAGGCTGCTCACCTCCAGGCTACGATTTTTCATCTGTAGAACAGGGGTAATAATATTGTCTGCTGCCCGGGTCCTGTGTGTAGAAGCTCTTGGCACAGTGCCTGGCCACAGAGAGTGTGTGTTCGTCCATCCATTCATTCATTTATCAAGTTAGACACAGACATAGGCTTAAGTGTAGGCTGCGCTCCTTCTGGGCCCAGGAACTGCTTTAGGACACAGCAGTGAAGAGAAGGTGAGAATTGCTGCTTATATTCTAGTGAGGGAGCAACCCAGTAAGATTTTTATGCCAGATGTTGGTAAGAGCTCTGAACAGCCCTACTGCAGGGAGGGGGCAGGTGCAGTGGGAGTTAGAACCCTAGGCCTGGGGGCGACACGGGCTTCTCATTGTCAGGGCACAAGGAGGCCAGTCCAGCTGGAGATGGTGGTGAGGCAGTGAGTGCAGCTGGTGTGGGATGGGTGCTTTCTCGGTGCCTGCTGACCTCTGGGCCCCTCAGGTCCCTTGTCTGAGGTGGGCTGGAGGCAGGAAAGTGTGTGGTCTCCTTGACCTTTCTAGAGGGTGGGCTGAGGAACGACCTGAGGTGCTGAGCCCCAAACCCCACCCTCCCTGACCTCAGACACTGTCTGACTTCTCCTGTACCTTCAACTCTCCTCTCACTTCCTCCAAAGCATTTAAAGGTCCTCTAGTTTGTTCCATCTGTTAAAAGAAGGTCTGCCCTGGTCATACCTCCTCCAGTCACTGTCCTGTGTTCGTACCGTCCCTTCCAGATCAGGCTCCTGGAAACAGTGGTCTGTGCTCAGGTGTCCAATTGAGCCCACTCTCTTCTCCCCCCTGTGGCTCAGCTGCTCCCTGAACCAGCTTCCACTGAGGTGACCTCCAAAACTAAATCTAGCAGGCACCTCGTGCCCGCTCCAGTTCTAGAGTCTTCTGCGTAGCCAGCTACCGCCGCCTGTGTCTGCAGTGCCCATGCATTCTTCCCCATCTCTCGGGGGTCTCCCTCTCAGCTCCCTTTCCAGCTTTGCTTTCTTTTGGCCCCAACAGCCCAGCTGGTCCTTCTGGAGGCTCAGGACTGTGTTTGGGGACGGTGCTCTCAGACACGTACTTGCTGCTTTCTCTCTTTTAATCGTCACCCGAGGATATGTTCTACTGATGTGGTTTTTTTTAGAGAGAGGGGAAGGGGTGGGGAGAGAGAAAGAGAGAAACATCAATTGTTTGTCTCCCGTACACACCCCGACCAGTGATTGAACCCTCAACCTAGGCATGTGCTCTGCCTGGGAATCAAATGGTGACCTTCTGGTGCACAGGATGACGCTCTAACCAGCTGAGGCGCCGGCCAGGGCAACTGCTTCCTCTCTTTCGAGGGCCTCTCCTTGGCCATCGTCTGCTCGGCACTACTCCCACCCGGGCCTGTCCTTGGAGAAGCAGCTTGTTAGATGGACATGCCCCGGAGGAGGAGGGTCATGTGCTGAACCAGCCTGGCCTCTCCCAGAGACAGATGGCATTCACCCCTCCTTTTACCAACCCCCAGCACACACTGCCTCCCTGCCACTTGGCTTTGTGAAAGCATCTCCACTTAACCGGACCGTGGACCCATGGTCAGTAGCCCCATGGGGACTCTTGGTGACCTATTGTACTGGTGTCGTCTGGCCCAGCCAGGAGTCCTGGTCACATATTCCACAGTGATAACAAGGGAGTGTTTTCCTCGGGGACTCGCTGCCAAAAGAGCAGCCCATAGTCTCGTGGAAGGACCAGGATGGCTGTCTTGGCAATGAACTTAGATTCTGTTCCACTTCCAGTCTCCAGAGGACGCCTTCCTTTGGTGTACGTAAACTGCTGTAAACAGCCCCAAATCCTCGGTATGATCTGTGCCTGGTTCCCTCCGGTGAGCCGCCCACATGCTTTTCCATGAGCTCACTCTGCAGCTGCCACTACCCTGGCTGCTGGCCGTTTCTGCTTCCGGGATGGCAAGGTGGCTGCAAGCATGAGGGTCTTTTGGAATTAGAAAGCACCAGACAAAGGGACCTGTCAGAGGCTGCATGCTAGGGCTAGAGGAGCTGCATGAACGCAGAGTACTTGGACTGGCCCCCCTCCTCACTTCACAGCATGACCAGCCCATTGGAGTGTCCCTCTGAGCCTCAGTCTTTCTATCTGTGAAATGGACATTTAAAAAGTGCCCTTAGAATATGGTGTCCTCATTGTGGTTGTCGTTATTCCCAAACCCCTTTTTTTTCTTATAAACAAACCACTCCCTGCTGGATGGCCTGTCAGGTGTACCTCACGCAGGTCTCTCTGTTCACAGTCCCCAGTGTGCAGGCACCGGGCTCTGGAGAACTCGCCCCTGTCCAGCTGTGAGACAAGTGACGCCGAGGGGCCCGTGCCTGTAAACAGCGCCGCTGTCCTGAAGAAGAGCCAACCGGCCGGCAGCTCCCCCTGCCGGGGGCACGTGCTCCGGAAGGCCAAGGTCAGTCCCCATCTCGTGCTCGAGCTCATAGGGGCCACCTCTCACCAGCCTGTCGGTGCGGGACGGAGGAGCTAAGCTTGTCCTGTCCCGTCACACAGCCTGCCACTAAATACCACATCTTGAATGGCTTCCATGTCCTCCTGGAGTCAGGCCCTCTCAGGAGTCCCCCTTTCAAATGCTCAGAGCACCAGGACCTTCCTCAGGCCTTCACCTGTAGCGTCAGGAAGCCAGCAGCCCTGGTTCTGTCAGAGGGGGCTTGGGAGCTCGGTTTTGTTTTGTTTCTGCCACATTTGCTAATGCCGAGCTTTTACCATTCATTACGCTTGAACTTTCATTCTAGAGAAGGTGAGGAATTCCTAATTTTATATGTATGGAAGGCGTGCAGTGCACTCATGGCTCAGGTGAGAAACCCTGGACACAGCAGGAGTCAGGGTTAGCATCGGACCAGCATGCCCATGTGGGCCACTGAGGACAAAGGGAGAGGCCCCTGCTTGGCGGCCAGGCCGCATGGCGGGTGCTCCCTCGGTTTTCTCCTCTGACCTTCTGTGTTCTCAGTGGTCGTCAGTGGGACTCAGCTGACCCCATTTCTGGGTCGTGTAGTAATTTTGTGTGTTGTATTTTGAGGAACCGCCACCCTGTGTTCCACAAACACTGTGTCATGAACCTTGCCTTGTATGTCAGCTCCTGCTCTCGCTTCCTCAACAGGAGTGGGAGCTGAAGAATGGGACGTAGATCGTGGACGTCGCCAAGAGGACACGGCTGTGGGCTCCCAGCAGGATGCCCGGCTGTGCCCCAGACCCTCATGTATTTTTCTACTGTATATGGTGCCCTGTAAAGACATGTACCTGGAACACTTGGCTTCCCAGTTGGTTTGTTGAGAGGCAGAGGTATGAGAGGGGATGTAAGACCGTCCGCTGGCCAGTGGGGGAGTCACGGCTTTTCACCCACTCAGTGCCAGCCAGCCAGCCGCAGACTGGGGTAAGCCAGGCGAGCCGGGTCTGCCTGGTGTGGGAAAGCAGGCCCAGGGCTCCGTGCAGCCTCTCCTGTGGATGACCATTGGCCAGAAGGTGGGAGTTTTTTAGCTGCGATGGGAACAGCATGCACTGGTGTCTCTGTGTCCCCTCCCCATCTGCCTGTCCCTGTCCCTGAAGGTAGAGGCCTGAGGAATTGTGTTGTGTTGTGTTTTTTACCTTTTATATATTTTTTCTGGACAGATGCTTTCGTCACAGGACATGAAAAGCTGCCATTCTTTTTAAACTTTTTAAATTTTCTATTGTGTGTTGCACTTAGCTCTTGGGGTTTCTCAGAGATTCTGTACCTATTTTATTAAGTATTTGTACTGCTTTGAAAGGCATCGAGAGTTTCCGATACCTCGCCCATGTGTGTCCCCCCTTCTCAGTGTCCACCGTCCATGCACCAGGCACGGTTATAGAACCACAGCATGTAGAGCAGGAGAAGACCCTCTAGAGCTTCAGCCCCCCCCCAAAACTTCCGCCCTCCCATGACCACGGCTGTGGACTCAGGCCTTCTCCTCTCAGGGCACATAGGCTTGTAGGACCTCTTCATCACTGTCTTGTCTGCCTCCTGCATGGTGGTCTTGGGTGACCAGGTGCTAAGGCACGGGACAGAGCTGGCTTGTACGCTGCGGGCCTCAGACCAGGCTCAGGCCTCCATCTCCAGGGGCCCTCTCAGGAATCTGTTGAGAAGATGCAGCCATCCCAGAGCCCTCTGCAGACAGATCCCCACATGGGAGGGGTTCTTTCTACCAAAACCTGGAGCTGTGGTGGGCCTGCAGGGGACACAGGCCTTTCCTGCCACCCAGAGGTTCTCATCACGTGGGGACAGACAGCAGTGAAGCAGTGGCCCCTCTCATGCATGCTGGGCTGCTAGGGCCAGGGTGGATGCTTCGTGTTGGGCTGTGGTGGCCGTGACTGGCTGGGCAGGAAGCCAGTCTCTGCGTGAGGAGGTTCCACAGCTGGACCTGGAAGCTGTTTAACTGGACTCACCTGGAACCTGAGCTCACTGCACAGCCACCTGCGGGAGTGTCTGTGGGTCATGATCTGTCACCTCGCCCTGGCCCTCTGACCTCCTTCCCACGTAGCAAGGTAACCCCAGGGTGTCTGGGCAGGACACTGGAGGGAGGGCCTGTTCTGTCTGTCCACAGAGGGAGCTGGACCACGGTGCCTCATGGTGCCTCGAGCAGCTAACTTCCCGTGGAGGGAAACGCTGGCTCCTCCACCTTCACTGCCTCCAGTCAGGTACAGTCTCCAGTTACGGCTTTGGCCGTGGTGTTTTCAGCTGCCTTTGCCCAAGAGAACTGCCAGGTTCGCCTGTTACTAGGCAGGAGGCCCTGGGCAGCCTGTACTCTTGACCTCAGCCCAGCAGGGTGGGCAGCGCCACCTTGGCTGCTGGACGGCACCTCACCGTGGCCATGGGTTGTGGCCATGGGTCGGTGGTCCAGGCCCTCAGACTCCTGTGGACACACAGTGTTTGTAAAGCCCCAGTTTTAATCCACTTTCATAACCATGAGATGAGCCAGAGCCAGGGAAACGGTCTTGAGGACGGGCTGCTGGCGCCCACGGATAGCGTGTGTCCCTCCGTGTCCTTAGATTTGATCGGAAACCAGTTTAAAGCGTTTGCTTCAAAGTAAGTTATTTATTTGTATATGTTCAATAAATATAGTTTTTAATTTATATCTGTACATATTAGACACACGCTAGGCATCTAGTCAGATGGGGCAGAAGTCATATTCCCCTGGGAGAAGTCAGGTTCCTTTGAAATGTCACCTGTTCCTTTCACAGACAGTCCTGTTCACAGAGTGCTGGCCACCTCCCCGGGGTCCTGGCAAAAATGAGAGGGCTGGGGGCCACACAGGGCCTGGGTGAGGCCGCCCTCGGCACTCAGGCCCTTCCTTCTGCTGGAGCCCGAAGCCCGGAGCCACTGTCAGCCCAGGGCTCTGCTTCCAGCTTCGTTTTCATGAAGTGCCAACCACCTTCAGAATTCCATCCACTTTTGTGTTTCTAGTCTTTTACTCGCTCACCAACCTTTGCCCAGAAGCGAAGTGGTGGTGAAGGGCTCTCCTCGTCACTGACAACACAGGTGGAGGTGGGTGCATCCCCTCTGCCCTGCATCCCGCCTGTGTGGCTTCAGGATGGCTCTACTGCAGGTGACCAGGCAGGCTTGGGGTGAACGTCCCCCATGCCAGACTCCAGGGCAAGGCCTCTCCCACTGCCGTCTCTCCTAGCTCATCTTTTGGGGCTACTCTGGCAACCTCAGACACCCGTAGGTGCAGAGCCAGCTCATCCCCAACGTTGGTGCACCTCACCCGTCTCCCTGTCCCTGAGGCGTTCCTGGCTGTTTCTGAAAACCCAACCACTCAGTAAAGTCTGTTTCAAATCGTGTCCGGGCCTGAAGGCCACCCCCAGGAGGGAGCTTCAGGCTCGGTCGTCAGGGTAGCAGTCAGAACTTGTGTGAGGTTTCCACGGGGACAGCGGTGAAGCCAGGCGGCTGGGGCTGTGGGCAGGACGCAGTCGTCTGTGGCCACGTCTTTTCTTTCCAGAGGAGTGTCAACTGTCATCAGGCTTCATGCACCAAGCCGTGGGACAGGACCTCCCAGGGTGGGCAGCGGCCGGGCCACCCGGCAGGGCGCTCCTCCCTTCCTGTGAAGGCCTCGGCAGCACTAAGTGCCCCGCTGTTGTCCTCTTTTCTAACACAGTGTTTAATGAGAGAAATAATTTCAAATCGTGGCATAGTTTTAAAGAGGGTGATGATTGTTATTTTTTGTACCTGCTGTTGCTGTCTCATGATCGTCCCCGCAGTGGGCTGGGCTGATACTGTGAAATAAACTGAATGAACTAAAGTCTCATGCCACACGCCTGACCCAGCATCACGAGGAAGCGGAGCCGCCTGTCCGTGAGCCCAGCAGGGCGGTGGCACACGGAGCCGCACTGGCTCCAGTCGTGTTCGTCCAGTGCTGTCGCCACGGAAGGTGGTTTCACGCTGGGGTCGTCCGGTCATAGCTCTTAGGGGCCAGTGGTGTTGTTAGTAAGATAACCTTTATCTCATTTTCAATCAGGAAGGACTGTTTAAATTTTCATGCCAGCTTCTAAATTACAGATCTGCAGCATTGACTGACCATGGCTGTAAAATGTTTCCATAGTAAGAATGTAATTATTTCCTTATTGTATTTTTAAAAACTAAAGTCCTATTTAAGATTCTCTGTGAAAGGAGCAGGCAGGAAACGGAAGATTTTTTTTAATGAATCTCTTTTTTAATGAAATGTGTTGGCAGTGCCCATTTTAAATGACTGTAAATATGTTTTCACTGTTTCTCAATGTATTTAATTCATAAAGTGAAAGATTTTATCAGAAGACACTTGCAGCGGAAACGTCAGTTTCAGCCCATTTGCCCGTTTTGTAGTCGCCTCACTTGAATTTCTTTACTAAGAGATTTTCTACTGTCTCACAGTGTAGCCCCGACGGGCGCCTGCGGCGTGACTGTGTATTATCAATAAAACTACTCCAGCCAGGCCTGCGTGTCCCGACCGGCTGGTTTGTGTTCCTCTAGAACTTTCTCCGGCCCCCCAGGGACGGGGGAGTTGAAAAGTACTGGGTGGAGGGAGAGGGTGAGGGTGAGCGGTGCCCTTGGTGTCCGTCAGTGAGAATCCTCTTTCCTGAGTCACTTGGGGTTTTTCTTAAGTGGCTTTTAGTCCACGAACTCAGACGCTCAGTGCAGGGAACGTGTGAGCACCGCCAGGTTCCAGGCGCTGTGTGGTGATGGGAATGGGGCTGGCTTCAGTGTGACTTGCTCCCAGGTGCTCACACAGGTGGACAGGTGACCCGTGCTGAGGGCAGGGCTGCCTGGGGACTTCTGAGTCGTAGTGGATGGAGCCGCTGCCTTTGAGGAGCTGGTCGGGTTTGCAGGAGGGTCGGTGTTTGAGCTGGGTCCTGGTGTTTAAGTAGGAGTCCAACAAGGAGAGGGGCGGGGAAGACAGTCCCGTGGGAGGCAGCAGGAGCAGAGGGGGGAGGGTGAGGACCGGAGGAAGGGGCAGTGCGAGCAGAGGAGCAGGACGGGGCGGACAGGAGGGCCCCGCGCGTCTCGTGAGGGAGGCTGGCCTAGCTCCTGTTCCTACACGGGCTGGACGGGGTGACGATGGGTCAGAGGGTACCCAGGGACGCCCCAGCAACAAATGGCCCACCTAGGCCCCCCTTTGCCAGGTCTAGGGCCGGGTGACCCCGCGCGGCTCCAGCCCGCCTCCACGCTCCCTGCCCTTTGGGGGGCTGCGGGCTCGCCAGTCACTGGGTTTGGTTTTCACCGGCTCCCATGACTTACTAGTATTCACGGCGGTGGGATTGGCGCTCCCTCGACCCTTCCCCGCGCACCCCCCTCCCCGGTGGGTCGTCGCTGCCCCGCCTGCTCTGACTCCGCTTGGCTGAGAGGAGGGTGTCTCGGGTTTTTTATGTCTTGCAAGGTGCGTAGATCTAAGTGTTTCTTTTTTCGTTACCTCACCGAGGATGTTTTTCCCATTGATTTTCCGAGCGAGTGGAAGGAGGGGGAGGGAGAGAAACATCGATGTGAGAGACACACACCAATTGGTTGCCTCCCGCATGGGCCCCGACTGGGGCAGGGAATCGAACCTGCGACCTTCCGGTGCGGAGCCGATGCTCTGACCAGTGAGCCCCCAGGCCGGGGCTGTTTCTTTACCCCCGCGACACGGGGCATCACCGAGGCTTTTCCCAGCGGTTCTCCCCCTGCATCTCCTGGCCTGGGACCCTCGGAGGGGCCCGCCCTTCCCGGGTTTTCCCCTGAAGTGTCCTGTAGAGAAGCCTGTAGGACTTTCTAATCTTTATCGTCCAAAATCAAACCTTTTCATCGGCTCGATGTTTGTGCGTTAATCTGTGGGCCTTTTGATCTGAGAGCTCAGCCCTCCGCCCCGTTTCATTGGCCTGTTCCCAGGGGTGCCCACCTCTAATGTTGGGCTCCCTGGCGCCCTCTCCTCACTCCTCGGTCCCTCAGTCCTTGGCTATTTCTCGAGCTATTTCATCCGTCCTGTGCACGGTGACCCCGTTTGGCGCAGCATGCGGGCTGCTCTTCCCTTCAATGCACCGCGAATGCCGCTCCCAGGGTCTTCACTCCCCGGCTCATCTTGCACCGGTGACCCCCGGCCCGCCACGCACTGGGGGCCGGTACTGCCGTTTCAAAGGGGCATATTTTCCTGCCTTTCACATCATGACGCGCGCATCTGTTTCCAGAATTTTCTCTGCCTGCCTTTAATAAGCTCTCGTCCACAAAATGTGCCTCTCCTCTGAACCTGGGGTCGGCCTCGCCGGTTAGACGGCGGGGCTGCGCCCTGACCCGGGCTCCCGCTGCCTTCCTCTGTTACTTGCCCTTGAACGAGGCGCGCCCCGGTTCACGCGCTGCGCCTCCCCCTCGCTGCATTCGGCCCAGGAGTCCTTGCCCACGTTTGACTTCAGGGCGGCGTGGCGTGCACTGCCCCCGACAGCGTATCAGGCCCTCAGACAAACAGCGAGCTCCAGGGATTCCTTCTGGGGTGGCGACGTGACCCGATCAGAGCCTCTAGACTTCATGGAAAGACGATGCCAAGTCTGGAGCTGCTGCAGCCACTTTGCGGCCTGAGGACACCTGCGTGCCCTGCCCCTGAGCAGTGGGATGTGCCTGAGAAACAACCCCCCGAAAGGTCTCCCTGTAACTCGGGGCCTCCACGCTGCCTTATCCAACCCTCTCTCACCCTCCCGAGGGCGGCTTCACGCCCCTCCCGCTTCCCCGAGCCGCCTCCCTCCCCACGCTAAGCTCCCAGCCCAGGTGTTCCTGCGGCTTCCCCGGTGAGAGGCCCCTGCCCCTCTGTCCCCTCCACGGCCTATTCCCACCCGCACACCATCCCACAAGGCCGAGCCCCGGCCTCGTCTTCACCCAGCCTCTGCCCCAATTCTGCGCCAGAGCCACGAGAACGTTCTAGAGAACGTCACGTACGCCGGCTACTCCTCCCCTTCCGTGACCTCCTGTCCCTGTTCCTGCAGCACAGCCCTCGCACTCCCGTCCCCGTCACTCACCGCAGCAGCCCCGGAGCAGCAGCCCCTCGACTTTGCAGCGGCCGCCACCTCCCAGCCGACACTGGTCCCGCCCGCAGAGGCCCCGTGGCTGCGGGGAGACGGGCAGGCCGGGGCGGGCCTGGCCGCACAGCGATGTTCACCCCAGTCCCGACTCGGGTATCTTTGGGCCTCGCTGCCCTCGACTACGGGAGGGGACAAGGGCACCTGTCTGGCGGGGCTGCTGCCAGCGTGGTTTATGCACGCCTGTGGCGACTGCCCCTGGACATGGCGCGTGGGCGACACTAAGTGGGAGCTCTCCTGTTAACGGCGATGGCCCCCCGCGTCCCGCTGTGTCCGCAGGCTCGGCCGCTCCCCCACCTGCTCAGCCGAGGACCCTGTGAGGGTCCCTAACAGAGCTCAGCATTCGGGCCACAGTCACGTCAGCTGCAAACGGCGCCAATGGTCCCTTCTGCCCAGCGCGGCGCCGCCGGCGCGAGTCCTGAAGAGCTTGCCCACGCGCCATCTGCCAAACCCAGTCCTGCCTGTGGTTAACAACCTAATTACACCATGAAGCAAGCGCCAGTGAGCCCTGGGCACTCGTGGCTGAAACACCCGGCCTGGTGCACGTTAGTGCCCGAAGCTGGCACCCTGAGCTCACCGCCCCGAGACCCACTGGGCCCGGCGGGCAGGCGGCGGGGTGACGGCGGAGGCATCCGGGACCCGGGATCACGCGGGAGGCCCCGGGGAGGCTGGGAACGGCTGCGCGGAGCCCTCGCCACCTGGGCCCCGGGAAACGATCGCTCCAGCAGCCTGAGGCTCACAGGGTGTCTTCACGGCTCGTGAAACCCGGGGTGCGGCTGCCTAGCCCCCACCACGGAGGTGGGGGACGTCTCCCTTCTTCCACGGAACTGACTGAGCTTGGGGCCGGGTCTCCCAAACGCTGGCCACGGAGGAGGTCAGCGCCTGCCACAGGCAGACGGGTCACTCCCTGAGGGGCACCCTGCCCACGTAGGCACAGAGGGTGCTGCCAGGGTCCCCGCCCTGAGACCCAGGGGCACCCCTGCGGCTGGACAGGTTGGGTTAGTGCTAATGCAGGCCCAGCAGCACGTCACGGGGGTGTGTGGACTGGGGGCTCAGTGACAGGTGTCTGGGGTCCTGATTTCCTGGGGGGCCGTGAGGGTGCTCTGGGGAGGAATCGGAAGCCAGGCTGGGCGCTGTCGGGAGCCGGGCAGGCGAGGACCGGGCCTGAAAGAGCCCGTCTGGACCAGGGGCTCAGTGAGGCCGACGGTGCCTGGCCGGTTTTGCGGTTGGGTCCGTCGTGTTTGGAGGTGACTGGGACGTGCTCTTGGGTTTGTCACCACCTCTCAGGGTCACGGTGGCCTGTCTGACGGGGCGTCAGTGACCCCATGCCGGACGAGAGGCTGCGGGCCGCACCTCCTGGGCCTCATCCGGCCGGTGGGCTGGTGCCGGAGCCCTGCTGCGGGCCGTGGGGTTGGGGACCGGGCAGCACTCCTGTGAGCCCTCCGAGAACCGGCCAGGACGCCCGTGCTTGGCCGGCAGGTCCTGATCCAGCGACCCCAGTGACCGAGAAGGTTACTGTCAGGGCCACCTCCCCCTGCGGGGTCAGGCCCCGCTCCCGGCTGCTCCCACAGGCCTGGCCGCAGGGCGCTGGGACCACAGTTCTCGGGACAGGGGCACCCAGAGGTTCATAGTAAGGCAAACACTGGTCATGTTCATTTAATCTTTGTTAAAAGCATCACAAATGGTTTATTGATTTTTAAAAAGGAAAAATAAGACTCGATCGCACCTTTGTTATGTGCATATACCAGGTGTGGGCGCGGCCCGGGCGGGTGCCCCTGCACCTGCACACCGGCTGCACTCCCAGGTGCGAAACCGGGTGCGCCCGGGGCCTGCGTGTCGGCCTGCGTGGCTGTGGGATGGGGGAGCACAGGGGTGATCAGATGCCCCCTTATTCCCAGGTTCTCAGGTCCACACCCCTAAAATACTCTTAATAGAAATAATGACGTAAGATAGAAGAGAAACACCAATAACCAAGGGCAAACCCTACCCAAGCAGCAGAGAGAACGGAGTCGAGTGGTTACAGGTCAGGGGGTGGTCACCCGTAGGCACTGGTGAGGGGGGCTGTGTCCAGAGGACTCCATGCTGACCTTGGCCTTGGGGCTGAATGGTGTCTGACACTCGTGGGACAGTCCGGCGGGGTGGATGTCGGGGCACAGGGCTCCCCTAAGGTGTCTTTGGAGGCTGCAGGTGGGCTGGGCAGGGAAGGGGGGCTTGTGGCAAAGGTCTGAGAGCCCAGCCTCTTCTCACACCATCCTCGGCCCCTCCCGCCCGGGGCCTCAGGCCCCACCGGTCTCTAAGGAGGGTCTCCAGGACAACTTGCGGGATGACCCCTGGAGAAGGCGCCCAGGAGCCCCAGCTGGTGGGCAGGGGTGGGGAGAGGGGCCCACAGGGAGTCCCCATTTGTGACACGGGGCACTGGACTGGAGGGATCCCCCACTCCATCCAGGGTGTGAGGTTCCACCCCCTGGCCTCCCCTCCCACAGGGACTCGGGTTAATGTCCCCCAGGCTTCATTCTGGACTTGCCCAAACAGGCCAGCAGGTTACTAGCCGGGGCTCTGGTGTTCCCCTGGGAAAGGCCAGGCCACCTGGGCGCCCTGTGTGGGGGGACAGTGAGGGGAGGGGGAGACTGACTTCCTGGCTCAAGGCAAAAGTGCCCCCTCCCATATATTCACATGTAGCCGAGGCAGCATCCCTGATGTGGCCCTTGTATGAAGACTCACTGCCCGGGGCAGAGGGCTGGTCCGGGGGCACCTCTGCCACCCTCTGCTGTGTGGCCTCGGGAAAGACTCCCCTCTCCGGGCCTCAGTTTCTCTATTTCATGAGGGGAACAACCCTAAACCACCCCCCCCACTCCTAAACCTCTCTGATTCCTGGGTTTTTATATGGGTCCCTGAAGCTCTAAGAAGTGCAGCAGAATTGGGGTCTCCGCCCGGTCCCACCTGCCACCGGGAGGCGGGGCGCCTGCAGGAGGGCGCCTCCTGCTGGCTGGCTGTGGAGGTTCAGGCCCCAGGCTCCCAGGGGGAAGATCCGGGGCAGCCTCTGCCCCTTGGGCCTGGGAGAAACGGTGCCAAGGAGCAGCCCTGGGCATTCTAGGAAGAGTGTTCCCGAGAACGGGGCTCTGACGGCCACCTGGGTGCCCGCCAGTTGGCCGTAAAAATAGAAAGTTGAACAAAATGCCAACAGCTACCTAGAGAGGTATTTACATTTCCTGCTGTTTAAAAAGAGGGGCAGCAAGGGACACGGTGGGGGGCAGGGCAGGGCCTGGGGTGGGCGGCCTCGGGCCGTGCAGGCGGGAGCCGCCCTCCTGGTGGGGGTGTGAAGGGCCTGTGTCCCTGTGCAGGGCGGAGCGGGGGGCCAGCCGCTGAGCTGGTCTGTGGTTCCGGGAGGGTGGGAGCCAGGCGGGCTCACCTCTCTGTCCCCCAGCAGACCTGCCCTGGCCACCAGAAGTCAGGCCTCAGCAGGGACCGTGGGGTATGGAGCAGCCAGGGCAGCCTCACAGGGTCCAGGGGCAGAGACATGCCCAGAGTCGGGGTGGGGGGCCTTGGGCCTGGTGTCCAGGGAGGGTAGCAGTCAGCAGGCCCCGTGCATCCTGGGAACTGAGCAGAGGCGGGGGCATCTGTCGCCTTGCGTGGGGACAGCTGGAGGCGGTGGCTTTTCCGCAGGCCTTGGAGGGGATGCCAGTCCCAGCATGGGCACCGGCCACGTGTATGGCTCTGTTCCCTCCACGGGATGGGACCACGGAGAGGGGAGAGGAGGCCTCTGCAGGCATCAGCTCACCAGGTAGCTGTGCATTTCTCGGGAGTTGATGCTGAGGACCACGCCCGAGTGGTTCCCTAGGAAACAGAGATGCCCTCTCGTGAACACAGGCCGCCGCTGGGGGGCACAGGGGGGTAAGGCAGGGTCATGCAGGACAGGGTGGCCTTGGTAATGCGGGGAGGGTGGTGCCTGAACAAGGTGTGTAGGTGGCGGGTCTCCAGCTTCCGGTGGGTGGCTGAGCGGGTGCTCCCGGCGCCATCCCATGCAGTGGACCCCACAGGCCTCCGGAGGCGAGGCGTCGGCCAGCCACCACCTGCCGCGCCCGCTGACCTGCAGCCGGCCGACCCGGACATTGGCAGCAGGGGGTGCAGGAGGGGTTGTGCCCCCCCGGGCAGAGGGCACTGCAGCCAGCATGGCGTGGCCGGAGGTGGCAAAAGAGAGGGGCACAGTGATGTCAGCAATGCAGAGGTGACGGGCGGTCTGGGGGGGGCTGGGTTATGACAGCGGGACGGCTGAGTGGCCCGGGGAAGGTGCTGAGGCAGGTGGGACCCGGGGCTGCTCTGGGGAGCTGGTCCCCCACCCCGGCTCTGTGGCACCAGCCAGGCTACGGGCGGTGAGGGGTCATGAGCCTGACTGTGGGGGAGACTTCATGTCACCACCTCAGGGCCTCTGCTTGTCACCTGTCACATGGGGATCATAGTTGCACCACCCTTAAAGGACCGCAGTGGGGACTGTGATGGAAGATGCACTGAGGCCTCGAGCAGCGCCTGGCACACACTAGGCGCTTGATTACAATGAGCTGTTATTACCACCCGGCCACTGTCTCAGGGTCCCCCCGGCAGGAGAGGGCGCTCTCACCCCCAGGACCAGTGCCCTCTGTCCCAGGCTTGGGAGGCCCCGGGCCTCTCAGAGCCTCTGCAGCCAACTGTGGGGCTGGGCCGCATGGCGGGAGCGTGGCCCCCGAGCCCCGACTCTCTGACCACTGAGGCCCTGGGTGGAGAGACCTGGGGGAGGAGTCTTCTCAGGTACACGGGTGATGACCCGGGGCTGTAGCGGGGGGTGGGGGTGGGGGGCACTGGATTTGGAGCTGGAGTCAGGCTGGACTCTGGCTCCACCTCCTATCAGCGGAGTGACTCTGAACCTCAGCTATTTCATCTGTCAAATGGACACGTGACAGCCGCCTGCCATGGGCAGTGAGCTAGGGGACGGCTGGGAGGCTCCGGGCCTGGCGCTCGGGAAGTGGAGTCATCATGTCCCAAGAGGCTAAGGCCACGTCACCCCGCGAGGAGCCCACCTGGCTGATGGTGTGGGGGAGATGGGCCCATCCTACAAAGAGTCAGGGACCCCACCAAGGTGAGGGACCAGGGCTGACCGGGTGTGGATTCAAGGGCACTGTCCGCCGTGTGCCCCGGGTGCCCCCCCTCTGAGCCTCACTTTCAATCACTTAAAAAGTGAAGACAGGTCCCGCTGGTGTGGCTCAGTGGTTGAGTGTCAACCCATGAACCAAGAGGCCGCTGGTTTGAGCCTCAGTTTCCCCAGTCGTGAAAGGAGGGGCTGTAATGGGGGCCTGTGTCCCTCCTCCTGCGTGGCCTGGCCCCTATCCCACAGGAAAGGAGTCCATGTCCCCTGCCCCTGAGGATGGACAAGCTCTGCATTTGCTCCACCTGCAGAGCAGGACGCAAGCAGCGGTGCTAGACTGTCACGGGAGGTGACGCAGCTGCACCGGGCACGTGGCCGCCACGCGGTGAGGGAGCCCGAGCCACTCGGAGGCCACAGGCAGGCTGCCCACGTTCACGGCCAGACACCCGGGTGAGGAAGCTTTGGTACGGTTCCTCCCCAGCCTCTGGCGCCAACCTCACAAGAGTCCCCGAGAGAGCTGCGTGGCTGAGCCCGGTCACCCAGAGCCACGCGAGAACAGGCAGTGACCGACGTGGACGCTGAGGCGGGGCCTGCGGGGCAGTGCCAGGAGCCCCGTCGGGAGGGAGCGAGGTCACGCCAACAAAACGCTGTGTAAGCTGTGACGGGCTGGGCACAGGTGGTGATGTCCCCAAGCAGATGCTCAGGGAGCAGGAGGGGCTGGGGGCGGAGGGGGTGACTATGGGAGAGGCCTCGCTTCCTTGTGGAAACCAGCCCCGTCCTCTCCCTGTCCTCTGAGTGTTCAGGGGCTGCCGGGCACGGTGTCCCAGCGCCCACGGGCCTCATCATGCCAGATGGGGGGGACACCCCGCACGGTAGGCTGGGCCTGCGTCCTGCACACTTTGCTGGCTGGGGGGCCCCCAGGAGGGTGGGGAGGTGGGTTTCTGGGGCGGGCGTTACCTAGAGTCTGAGAGTCGAGGTCACCATCTATAAACTCCTCACCCTGGACGGCGCTCTGGACGTCCTGGCTGTGGCTCATGGGGCTGGTCATTTCCTGCTCCTTCGCGTTGTGCATCTGGGCATACACCGTCCTGCCAGGGCGTTTCCTGCGAGTGGAGGTGGGGCTCAGGGCTCCGCCCAGGCTGCTGCCCCCTGGTGCCCCTAGCTGGGCCCCGGACCACCCCGTGTGGGACAGACACACTCAGGTCTCGTCTCCCGCCCCTTCTCTGCTCCAAGACACCTTTTCCGGGAAGCCCTCCCTGCTGCGAGCTCCCGAAGCACACGGGTGCTTACAGCCGGTCAGTCTCCCTGGTGACCGGGCCGAGGACTTGTTATGGGGAGAGGGTCTCTCATTTCCCCACTGCCCAGTGACTCTGGGAGGGCAGTGTCCCACCGCTACCCCGGGGTCCCGGTGCAGCCCCCCCACATCTGCACCCTGGAGCCCTGTGCTGAGCGTGGGAAGGACCATGGATGGACCTGGTCAGGTCCACACTCCTCTGCTCCCCAAGCTGTGTGGCCCTGGGCACCTAACTTAACCTCTCTGAGCCTGGGCTACCACTGAGGGTGGGGAGCAAGAGGAAGAGGGATGGACGCTCACTGGGTTGTGAGAAGCAGGGGGCCTGAGGGGGAGTCAGAACCGAGAGTGCCGCCCACCCTGGAGCCCACCCTGGAGCCCACCCTGGGCACTGGCAACTCCCCCCCTCCCAGGGTCTGGCCGCCACCCCTGTGGAGGGAGGGCGGGGGCCTTGCCTTTTGAACTTGTAGAGGATGACGGCTCCCACGGGGAACAGTCCGATGACCACCAGGACGGTCACCACCCAGTAGCTGCCCTTCACTCCCAGCCTCTGAGAGCCTGGGAAGAGGAGCCGCGAGCAGTCAGATGGGCTGCGCCCGCCCCCTGCCTGCCTGGGCGCCGTCCGCCTCCTTGGACGGGGGGGTCACATCAGAGCCCGGTTCTCCCGTGGGGCTCGGGGATGGGCTGCGTGGGAGGGAGTCGAGTCCTGGGCCCAGGGCTCTGTGTACGTGGCCTGGTCCTTCGCCCAGACGGTGGACAGACCGCTCCGTCCATGTCTGCGCTGCGTGGGGAGCACCTGCCGCTCTCCTCCGGGGGGGGGGTGTTGTTCTGAAGCACAAAGACCACCCCCGCTGTGGAAGACCCTTACCCAGAAGGGGAAAGACACTGACCAGAGAGGACAGTCCCAC